CAAAAATGAAGAAAGAATTTACAGATCAGTCATAATAGTTCACTGTGTCAAAACCAAGAAACTTGTATTCGTATAATTAGAATTCTCAAAGTAGAAAGGAGGAGGCAATAAATATTTAAAGATTTAAAATTTCTGAATTTAGTTCAACTTATAATACCACATTTCCAAGAAAAATGAACCTTTTTGCATAAGAAATTTAGATAAAATCATACCAGGATACATGAAATTGTCCAAAACTTATTGTAAAGAAAAAATCATTAAAGCATATATACATAAAAAAGATTAGCTATGGAAGAACAAAATTAAATAGCATCTTATTCCACATTAGAAAGAAAAAAAAAGGACCAAGTGTTTAAGAAACTAGACTAATTAAAGGACTGAAAGAGATCTGTCCTCTTCGAATTTTATGCTTAGCAAACATACCTTTAAAAACTAAAAGATTTTCTAGTTATACAGACTTGAAATATTTTAATACCTCCAGACGTAGCATATAGGAAACAACAAAGAGCATAATTCAAAAGGCAAGTGAAGTAGCAGTATGCTCCTGGATGAACAATAAAGAGGTCTCAATATGATAGTTATGCAGGACTATATAAAATACATTAGATGAACCCTTATTTAAAGGTCATTGAAGATTTCTATGAAACAGTACCAATTTTATGTTGGGTTATACACTTTTTTTTCATATATATGTGTGTGTGTGTGTGTGTATAAAAGGCAGGGAAGAAGTAATATAAAGTCAATAGAAAATGGAAATATACCTTTTAAAGTTTCTAATATTAGGAGAAGATATGCGATGTCTTTTAAATAAATTGTAAGTCAAAGATATAGTATAAATCTTAGAACAAAAATTAAGACTAAGCAATATTCAGAAAATTAAATACTAATTAAAAATTAAATGTTTCAAAACAATTGAACTAAGAAAAAGTTTTTATTATAGTAAAGAAGTACTAAGAGTAAAATATAAGATAAATACTGGCATCGTAGTAAAAAACTTCTAACAGTTTGAGGGTAGGATATTGCACAGTTCTAGTGTGTTGTGGACATGCATAATGACCATGACACTTACTGGTGGCCAGGGGTCACTTATGGGACTGAGCTACTGCTATTTCCTTGAAATCCACCCTGTAGAACCAGACAGAATCATGACCCATAGGGTGCAGGAGAAGTATGCTGATGGAAATATTTTGCTGCTGTATACAAAAGAATAAATGAAAGACTACTATTGTATTCCTCTTATTCTCCTGTGTCTAATTGTTTGCCCTATTTGGCAGGTTCTTTCCATTCTCATTTATGGGGCTGTGATCATTTTGTTCCCTCTCTGGAACATCATTTAGTAGTCTGTGTAGGCTTGGCTTTGTCATCATGAAATTCTTTAGTTGTTCTTTGTCATGGAAGTATTTCACTTCTCCATTATACTTGAAAGAGAGTTTTGCAGGGTGTATCAGTCTGGGTTGCAATTCGTTTTCTTGCAAGACTTGAAGTACTTTGCTCCATGCTCTTTTTGACTTGATGGTTTGTGAAGAGAAATCTGCCGTTATTCTAATGGGTTTTCCTTTAAATGTGATCTGTTTCTTTTCTTTAGCAGGTTTTAGTATACTGTTCCTGTGCTGAATTTCTGGGATCTTGATTATTATATGTCTGGGTGTGTTTTTAATTGGGTTGATGTTATTTGGAGTACTATATGCTTCGGTTACATGAATGTCAGATTGTTGCCCCATATTTGGGAAGTTTTCTGCTATTACTTCTGCCCATATTCTTTTTATATCGTTTGTATTGACTCCTTTCTTCTCATTGATGCCTATTAGTCTCACCTTGTTCATCTTTGCATCGTCATGCAGGTACTGAATTATTTTTTCCTGCATCTTACTTGTTTTTAAGAGATCTTTTCTTACTTTTTCACTAGCCGCAATGGTGTCTTTCAGGTCAGAAAGCCTATTTTCACTTTCACGTGAACAGTTTTGCCAGCTTGTGATTGAGATTTTAATTTCCTATATAGCACTTTGAATCTGTTTCATACATTCTATTTCTTTCCTATATTGTTTATTCAGGGGTTCCATCATTTTTATATTCTGCTTTATTTTTTTGTCAGTGTATTCTTTAGAAGCACTTAGTACTTGTTTGATTATAGTTATCACTACTTTTTTTAGTTCAGACATTATTTCTGATCTGATTTCTTTACCTATCTGCAGTTGTTTCTTTACTTCCAACGCTATTATTTCAGAGATATCAGGTGTGTGATTTCCAGTTTCCTCAGTGCTAGTGTCTTTTGTAGTTGTACTGTGTGGACTTGGGGCCTGAGACTGCATTTTGTTCCTTTTCTTTGTCATTTTGTATACTACTGTCTTCTGACCTTTGTTGTAGAACTTAGATAGAGTTATTACCTTAGCACCAGGTCTGGATCTACGAAGTTGTGATTCCTCTAGGGAGGTGTTGCTTGGATCTGGCTGCTGTGCTCCACTTCTTTCTGCTGTAGCCCTTGGAGTTGAACTCTTTGTGTCACTCTGGCAAGATGTTCTGCTCCTGAGTTAGTTGGGTGGGTCTTGCCTCTAGCCTCTTTGCAGGGAGTTCTGCTGAAGGGTTCCACACTGGGCCTGCATTCTGGTTTGAATGAGGATCCAGTGAGCCCCAGGCAGTCTCATTCACACACCGGGCAGGCTCTCTGGGTCTATTCAGGATCCAGTGGCCCCGGGGGTTCTCACTCACACACTGGGCCTGGGCTCTTACAGTCTAAATTAAAAAAGTATAAACACATAATTGCATGAGTAATTATTTAAATACAATTTTGGAAAATGCCAAATAGAGTTGGCTAAATGTGGAAAGTAAGTGAAATAGTGAGTATGAAGTTCAGTCAGTACTATGGCAGCATTTTCTGGGGTGATATGTACTCTTCTTATTCCCACCACTTGGATTCATTTGGCTGGGGCCTTCGAAATGTAGTAAAGATTCGTGAACAGCAGCTTATTACACAAATGTTGAAGAAGTGTCAGAGTTGTAGAGGAGGACCTGGACCATCTGCTATGGTGAGGGAGTGGCGAGCTCATCCTGTATGGCCAGTGCATCTTCCAGCGCACCAAGCATTTTCACACAGATTGTTTGTCCTGTGTTTTCCTTGTTAAGGCATTACTCATAGTAATCATTTAAGAACTTGTTATCAATTATGATCCTGTGATAGTCCTTACCTGACAGATAGTAGTAAGTATACATTACCTTCTCATAATCAAGAGATGTCACAGATTGTGTGCCAACTCCCAGTCACTGTAAGGTCGCTAAATTCTATAAAGTCAGCAGACGTCCACTGAGAGGAGGATGGTGGCTACCACAGCAGGATACACTGTCAGTTATTCACAGCACACATTCCACGAGGCACAAATCAGGAGTAAATTCGGGTTTCATGGGGGACCAAACACAAATAATAATGGTACTATTTTGATAAAGTCAGTAGTAGAGATGTAGACGATTAGTCTAAAGGCATAAAAACTAGAATTCCGGGGGGCCAGTAATCCATGCCCGAGCACACTCATGGATGGCATTTTCAGTAAGGACAGTGCCCCCCGTGGGCAGGAGCACAGGCTGAAGACCTGGCTGTGGCAGTGTCAGCCCTGCCTGTGCTCTCACCAGCTGTGTGGCCGTGGACTGCTACAGGGTAGGGATGAGGGCTCCATTAGTTGGGCTGCACTGCCCTGGAGCAGTGTGGTGGCTGGTTTTCCTATTCTAGAGTCTTCCTTGTTCTTCTGTCCACCTATTTGACAAAAATGTTGGTTCCTTATAATTTTTTTTCATGGTGACTTATTTTACTCTTTCCTTGATATTATTGCTATTATTATTATTATTATTATTATTATTATTGTATTTTTAGGGAAGTGTCTACAGGGTGTTCAGGGTCTCACTACTGGATCCTACTCGTAGTGATCCACCTGTTTACAGCCTCCCAGGAGCTGGGATTACAGGCGTGTGCGCCGCCACACCCGCCACCACGCCCAGTCACCACATCCAGTTGCAATTGCTGTCTCAGTGTGCCCCAGGGGTGGAGCTGGTACAACATGCCTGGGGATCGAACCCCTGGTCCCTGTACCTGCTTGCAGGCACTTTAATCCACCTTGACATTATTTTTAAAACTTTGCTCATTTCACATCTCATTTATTTGGTACGTTCTTCATCTAAAACCTTTTACATAAATTGATGAAATTGTTAGGCCCCCTGGTGTCTACCTGTGAAATCTCCATGTGTTCTAGGTTTGGAGCATTTGGACACGGGGAATGTATCAGGGCATTCATTTTGCATTAAGAAATCTAGAAAAAATGTATGCGTGCGTTTACCCGCAGTACAGATTTTAACTTTGTAATTTAGAAGGCAAAATAGCTGCTCAGGTTTTACTTGCATTCTTTTGAATTGCTATCTACAGAAGAAATTGAGTTGAGTTCATCTGACTCCCCTCAGAACACTCAAGTTCTCCATGCTGTACCTCTTCTGCTTCCTTCAAGGTGTTTTCCGAGAGTTTGGAGGAGCCCGGTGTGCACACAACATCGTGCGGTACCCGCAGTGCCGGCAGCATGCCCTCATGACCATCCAGCAGCTGGTGCTGTCTCCCAATGGCGATGACGACATGGGCACCCTCCTGGGGCTGATGCACTCGGCCCCGCCCACAGAGCTGCAGCTGAAGACCGACATCCTGAGGGTGCGCCTGACGAGCCTGCCCACTCCTACCACTGAAATCTGGGGTTGTTTTCGGTTGATTTCTGTTTCAGTTAGAGACAGGAAAGTTTTAAAAATTCAAAGTACAAAAAATTGAGTAACTTCATGCACATTAGGGATTTGGAGAAAGTCTAGTCATTCATGCATTTCACTATGTTGATTTACTGCTAATAAACCTTTGCAGTAATTATCTTGGTTTATTGGAGTGATCTGAAATTTAAAAGTATATTAGCCAAGTAGAACATCTTGATAA